CCCGCTCACTGCAACATTACAACAGCGACGGGCGTGTTGACGGATGTCCTATGCTAAATTGCAAGAACTGGCCGAAGAGAAAAAAAAAGAATCACTTTGATTGCTATTCTTTTCGTCCACCCGACATCGTATGGAAACGGGGCAGGGTTAGGGTCCGGTATTGGTCCGGGGAAAGGGGTAGGTTTTTGAAATCGTCCATTTGTCGCACGAATAAATCGGGCGTTTCTTAATGGGTTCGTAATTCTCAAGTGTCGGGATCTATATGGCCTGTACATAATGAACTGTGGTAATGGTGAAGTATCTAGAAAGAATGTTACAACTTTTTATCATTATGTGAAGCAGTTTCTCCTATAAAAAGCGGTTTACTGTTGTAATACATGTCAATTACTTTACAACGGGTGATGGGCAAAAAAAATCGTACACTGTCGTGCACGTGGTATTTGGCAAACGACGTGTAAATGGTAATCCTTCTTTGGAAGTTTAGGATTTTGGCGGATCGAGGGCTATCAAACAGCATCCCCCCGCCCGCCAAAACTTTACTTTCTTCAATGTAAAGTAATCTACAAGCCTCTGTTCGAGCATGAAACACGTTTTTCGGTTCCCACTCAATTTCGATCGATATTCGTGTAAAGCCTGCGTCGTCGTGACAAGGTACGAAAAATAGTAATACCTAATAAATCCCTATCAGTTCACATTAAATTACTGGTGTTTGACTAAAATGGCTACTACGATTGCTACTTGTTTGTTTGTAAGAATTCAGGTAAGAAATTTCGCCATAAAGCACGGAAAAAGGATAAGATTCGAACGAATTACACTTGTAATTCACTTTTTTGGCGCCCTCACTGCTTTTGGACGGTAACAAATTAGGAACACCTGAAATGATATAAATCACTGTTATCCAGTCATTGATCCATCAAAGAATCGATGATGGGAATGGGGTGGTGTCATGAAGAGGCGGGAGCACCTACCGTCCAGGGCGGGTTTCGCGCCCACTATCGATGGCCGCTCCTGACAGTTCTTCGTGGTGGATCTGTTATCAGGGTGCTATCAGGTTAAAAGTGATAAATCACTTTTTATCTCATTCATCCCCTCTATAGACCTCGTCAAGTTCCAGTATGATTTCTTCAAATCGCCAATTATCAGTAGTGAATAGTGCTTCCAGTGATGCATCTTTGCTGTTTTTCAGTATAACAAAACTATATTTGTTTATTTATTAATATATTATTTTTTCATCAGAATCGCAGAAGGTCGCAAGCGTTAACCGATTTCAAACAGTCATTTCAAAACTCCCAAACGTTATTCATATCAGTGCTTAAACACTATGTAAAAGTCTTACGGAAAGAAGCTGGAACCACAGTGAGGGGAAAGTTGTGGGTAGGAAATTAGTACTATATTGAACCAGATTCTTTGGGAACGATAAAGGAGGAGTTCACGCAGTGCGTCCATATTCTTGCACATATGAAGCAGGCAAGCTGACACTATCTTTGCGGCGTCATGGCGCGCGAGGCAACCTAGTTTCGATCTATCACACGGCAGTGGCACGTGCTGACCCATGATATTTTGATTTTGTGCCAGTGATTGATGCGCTTGAAGATTTCTCACTTTTCTCCCATCCTCGATGACCATACAACGCTGGGACACTTGAAGGGAGTAGAGACAGTTGAGCGCCGCTTTTCCTCAGAAATACTGTTCAGGGGGACACAGTAGCCTGTAAGGCCCATTTCAAAATATTCTCAGATTGATAATGAATAGTATTGTGCGTTATTGGTTAGTAGTAATGGCTGTCGGAACTGTAAATATTGTCTGTAAGTTCTAGAGAGAGATGGACTTCTCGTGCCTAAAAACGAAAATATGATTCACGCGAAAAAACGGTTTTTTTTTCAGTTTTGGTCGAACGGACATCGATGACGACGATATTATATTGCCGTTACGGCAATGCTGTGTTATTCGGCCGTCAACACTTAGCACGTTGTTACAGTTCTACGCTGAACCGCAATCACTGACGAAGACCCTTCATGCGTAAGTCCCACTTTCTTCTGATGACCTTGACGGCCGGAATTTCGACAGATTGCTTTCGATGGTTCGCAATGTAATGTTTCATCGAATAATTGTTGGAAGCACGGCACAACCAGCACAATACCGTACTCGACCTAACGTTCCAATAGTTTTTTTTCTGCGATAAATCTGTTACATTTTAATTTAAAACCATGTTTTGTATAAAAATCGCTGGTAAGGTAGTATATTCAGGTGTACTAAACGATACCCTGCCATTTCTGGACATCGCTTTGAGTTTTTTCAGGTCATTGTCAAAGGATCCGGTTGCACCAATTCTTGCTTACAAGCATTATGTTGCCATAGAGAGAAGATTAGACAAATGTAAGTTTGAATGTAATTACAAGTATGCAGCTGCATATCGAATACAGATGGAGTGCCTTATGATATCTTGGGTTGCCTGTTGTCATAGCTTTGCAGTTCAAATTTATTCACAAAGCCGGAAACGTGGCTAATTCTGCANGTTTTTCAATGTAGGACAATAAGTACCACAATTATATTGTGAATTGGTGCGCGACAAATGTACTTACTAAAAGATGATACGCGAAAGTGCTGACCGCTTCGCATCCGCGCACGTGTCACCTATATATTGCGACCACTCTCCTCCCTCGAATCAAAAGCACGGGAGAAAGTTTGATTTTGAATCAATAATTTTGTTTTCAGTGATGTCCTTCTTACTGGAGTGCTTCAAGCAGAAACCTTTCGAACGAGTGGTGCTCACCGAATTTCATAACAAAAACGTGGCCGAGGGGAATGTCGAAGAAGAGGAGAAAAGCGAAGAAGACACAGGTGATCGGAAAGACGAAAAACGAACGCAATAACGATCGGATCGGGTCTAATGGGATGAGAGGAGCCTCCACGAAGTGATTCGATCGGTTTCTGTACCGTCGTTGGCAGCATGTGCCACTCAAGTAGTAACGATTTCAATGAGATCGTAAGATCCGGTCTCTTGCAGAACCCAATAGTGAAGTGATTATTTTCCATTGTCCTTCAATTACTTACTCGTTCTATGCATTCAATTGTTAAGTAGAAATTGCAAAATTGCTAGCCCCTTCTCGTCAAACAGAAAAAAATTTAAGCATTAATTCGAGGGTATTCTACACTTATTCATCAGGGATCGGGTATGTCTTACCTAATGTGCACTTAGGAATTTTTCACCATAATGGTAATAGCCTTCTCTGGAGAACCGGAACAAATGTGCATGTGAAAGAAATTTGGTTGATTTTAGTGGTGCAGTGAATCATCATAGGGATGAAACACAATTGTACTATTGTTTTGTTACGTTTATTTTTGCTCCCATTTCTTTTTTCCCCTTTTTGACTTTCTGACGTTTTTTTTTACCGAGTGGAATCCCACGTGTTGCTATTCATTTTTGCGCCGGTGAATAATTGCTTTCATCTTGCTTGCGTGTGTATATATACATACAATTTTTTATTATTTTATCAGATTGTTTCACGCTAATTCACAATGATGTGATGCTTGCTCAAATGTGATACGTTTGTTGAATTCTATAAAAGATTAATTCTTCAGAACACGATGTTTTCAGGAGCTGGGGAAATTCCCATCGTCAGTAGTGCTACCTAATCAGTTCCCTTATTCTGGAAGTTCCTATTTGGTTCTAGAACCCACCGGATGAAATAAGACCCAGACAAATCCTTCTTATTGTTAGTATTATTACTTTCCCTATAATTTTCCTTACATTTATGGACTATGCCTACTGAATGGATCATACAAAAAGTGGGAAGACAGACTGGTAGGAACCTGATCAATTTTTTTTTGAACTAGTAGGAACTAGAGCGAGTTATCCCACTTGAAATACTCTCCAGCGAACAGGATGCGATTCTAAATTGAGTTCATATGCATGGCGTATCCATAAATGGCTGATTCTACGCCAAAAATATCCCATCCTTTTATCTGAATACCAGGTTGTTCAATCACAAAATGAGATGCTTCCATAGTTGATGGGGTTGGAATTTTCATGTACTCAAAGTTTGTTTCTCTTAGTCAATGAGGGCTGTTCATGTACTCAAAGTTTGTTTCTCTTAGTCAATGAGGGCTGTTCTTCCTATTGTTTCCACCATTATTTATAGGCCCCTGTAGATCAAGAGTTTGCCTGCGGGTAAGAGATCTGGCGGGAAAATACGTTCAATGAGGCACAATAGTTATCGACGTGCGTTCTCGCTAACTGTTTTTTTTTTCTAACTACCCCTAGGTTATTGCCGATCAATGCGTACTTTTGTTTTTCCATTTTTGAAGAGATTTGGGATATGGCTGGATAAGTTGAGTATTACAAGCTCATCACCTATGTGGATGAGAAAAGCTCACTGAATGTCTTTTGTGCTGTTTTAAGCCACAGATCAGTACTAATGTGATCTGAGGTTTGAGTGACCTCAGATCACATTGGTATGCTGATCTCCTCGAAGAACTTTGATCGCGAGTTATCGGCCAAATTTCAGATGAGAATGGCGCAATTTTGTGAGGACTTGGAGGACGTGTAAAGAAGGCAGGCAGCGTTCATTAGAATCTTCGATTATCAATAGGAGATTGTACGCGAAACGACTGCCCATGCTTTGCCCACACTCTTTGACCAATTTTCTCCTCTCTTCTAGAAGATATACAGATTAATTGCTGGCGCAAAGAAAATAAGCGTTGAGGATGGATTTTTTTTATATGTACATACAACTAATGTGCCGAGTTTATAGGTTATGTATCCCACGACGCGACGCGTTCGTAACCTCCATTCAGCTTTCAGAAAGATCATTCGGCGCATCTCATAGGTTGGAAACAAGCGAAAGCAAATAAATACAACTACATTGCAAAAATTGCAGAAAAAAAAACGAAAAAGAAAAACGACTCGCTCAATTAAATTCACGAAATTTCATTACAGAACACTACCCTA